TTACCCTATAACAGGTAATGGACCATTCCTGAGAAAATTTGAGTACGGGTAATGGACTGTTTCACAGCTTCACCTTCATGAATTCACCTGCCCACCCCCTCCCTCAACCGGCAACCACCGTCCCACTCTCTCCCCCCTCTGCAACTCACTGCCGCACTCCCTCTCCCGATAGGAACCCACTGATTCTGGTTTGGATTTCTGTAAGATATAGGATTTCATTTGAGTTAGTGTTTGATTTGCTTAAAAAAAGGAGTGGGAAGCCCAGACAGTTGTACATTGCTTAAGATTTCTTCTCCGGCAAAAGATTGAACAATCATAAGAGGGCCAAAAGCTTTAGAATTTCTCATCTTGTAGTCTTGATAGTGATTCCCCATGTCTTCCAAGCATTAGGAATGTTCAGTTCACCACAAATTTAATTTTTGGTATGAGTTTGCCGCATTATGTTTGCTTTTGGGTTTCACTGGTCTATAATTTCTTATAGTTTAATCCTTTGCCTACCCCACCTAACTTGAGATAAAAGGCCTTACATCTAGAAAATAGCAATGACTAAAACCATGACATAAATATGTAATTCTTAAGTTTCAGACAACTATTGTCTTGTGAGAACACGTGAAACCTGATTTTTATCTGTTGAACAAGATCACAGCTTCTTATGTCGCTAGCTGCATTAAGCTGTCAATAGTAGATTTTCGCATAAATGATAACTTCTAATTATACCTCAGTACAATGAACTTGGTAACATGAAGACTCTCATTTTACATTATATATATGATATACCTTAAACTATCAAAATATTAATCACTTCAATCACAATTCCCCAATTCATGAAGTTAAATAGTTGTTAAACTATCAGATCATTAACCAGCCACACTCAAACTTCTGCTGTTCTGCATTCTTGCAATTTATCAGTCTCTTAATTTCATCATATATGCGTTATTTTGCTCCTAACATATGTCTAAGGATAATCCTGAAAGCTTGAGTTCAGTTATTAACGTCAGCATTAAAGAATCACAATAAATGCACCTTCCAATAATAATAATTCAAATAACCAACCTTAGATGTCGTGTACCCTGCAGCAAGAGCAAGTACCGGCTGCACTGCAATATAAAGCCCTGGAACATTGAATGTCTCAAACATAATCTCACCGGTATACTCTCGACTTTCTGGTGGAGTAAGTGGACTCTCCGTCAATAAGAAGTAATGGTCCTCTGGATCACAACGTAGATAATTAAATATACACTGCTGCCAAAACCGTTCCATCGCATCCCAGTTATCCACCTGCCCGTGCTTGATCGGGTAAGTTAGATTGTAAGTACTACTAGTTCTTGATTTCGACACAGCTTCTTCCCCAATAAAGAAATCAAGATCAGCCATTACGCCAGCATTATGTTGTGCCATCCAACTGCTACTTCCCTTGTTAGAGCTTCGGTTGGGCTGAGTTATGAATGATTCGTTAACTGCAACTACTGTTGGAGCAATGAAACATGGCTCCACGTTACCCGCAAAACCCATTTTAGTATAACTGCAGGGCCACGATAGGTTATATTAATTTAAGCTATCGAAACAAGTAGATGATCCAAACAAAATGAATGGGTAAACGATATCTTTCAGAAACATTTTATCGAACATGTGATGTGCATAGCTTACAGATACAACAAATACGAATCTTGCTTAAGAATCTCATCAGAAGACGATTACCAATTAGAATATTGAGTATTGGATCAATGAATCTTGTGAAATAAAACAAATGCAATGAAATCAGAATTAGTGAATTACCCGGTACCGTTGTCGATCACTACAGCAGGACGAGATGTGGAAGGATCCATGATGATAGATTGAACAGCAGAGAGAAATAGCGATGTTATTGGAGCAAAGGTGGATCTGCAACTGAGATCCTATATGGGGTTTAAGGGAGGAAGTGATCATGGTCGTTGGGGAAAATCGATTAAAACCGTGGACGTCGATTGCAAGCGAAAGCGGCAATTCAACAACCAGCATTGACGATGATTGATATTGCTAATGGGTATCGCTCCATCCATTTGATTTTATTGGGAAAAAAGGAGAGTACAGTCAATCATGAACGAATCGCTGTGGAAATTAAAGAAAGTTGTTACATCAAATTCACCATCATTACAATACAAATCCACTACCCAGTGTCTTTTTCCCCAATTCAGGACCTTTTCTTGGCGATGAAACAATCAAATCTTCCTGTCCCTTTTCTCTCTTCTCGTCGATGGTTTGGAGATTGGCGGACGTTGAATCGGAGAAGTGTTTGACACGGCTTACTCCCTGGCCCCTGCTCGATCTTCTGGTCCGATTAGGTTAACCCGTAACTATGATGGCCCAAACTCGCAAAATTGAATCCAAATAATATTTTATTTTATCTTTATATTTTCATTATTTTGTCTTTTCTTTATTTTATTTTTTTTATTTCGTATCTCGATTAATTTCATATGATCCTAAAGAAAGGTTAAGAAAATACCCGGTGGTCTTACTGTGCTCGAATTAGTGACCTATAAATAGGGTTGTGTATTGGGCGGTTCACCAGATTTTTCTAAAATTTTCCCAGTTCGGCTGCCAACATTTCCAGGGTCATGAACACGACTTCTACCCCTTGTTCTACTACCTCTTCAGTTAAATTAAAATAAGATCTAGTTCAATTACAATGAGTTAGTTCAATGTTTAGTGAATTAAATTGAGAACGTTGCAAATAGCATTAGAGTGACGGCCCTCTAAGGTTTCAGGGGTATGCATATACTAAGGTCCCATTTGTTTGATTTGTTTGACTGTCTGGTTCTGAAATATTAAGATTTAATTGAAATCCTATAAACATAGGATTTTGAAATTCTAAGGGGGTGCTTGGGATTTCACGGCATTTCATATGATTGTATGCAAGAATGTACTAAAAATATTAAAAACATTTGTTTTGTAATAACCAATTAGTAAAAATGTAATATAATTATTTTTATAAAAAAATTGTATAAATTATTTATATATAATAAAATCCAATTTTATTTCAAATCCTACAAACAAAAACACACACCAATGATTTTAAATTCATTTCAATTTAAATCCCCCTATGAAATTCAAATCTCTCAAAAACAATCTTGCAAATCATATAAGCCTACATTTTGGTGGACATGGGCCTTGCAAGTTGGGCCAATTTGGCATGGGCCCCATCCCCATGTATCAGTGGGCTTGCCATGTGGTTTACGTATTCGGGTTATCCGTATGTTATAACTTTAAAATAATAAATAAAATTTACTTTAATAATTTATATAATGAAGAGTGTTACGTATTAAAATATAAATACGACATATATCTACATTATCGATTTCAATATATAGATACTTAAATACGTTTACATGAATAAATTATGACAACTTGTAGTAACCGATAAGGACTGAGGTCTTTTCAACATCCAAGCCACCTGAATTTAACACTGACATTGATCAGGAGGATTGAGAGCACTTTCGTACGGATAAATGTGTTTAGGGAGGACACAGCATGGTGAAATGTCTGATATATGTGAGATGGTCGTAGGTGGTTGTGTAGATGTCATGTAATGGATTTAAATATGATTTTAAGAGAAAATCGTATCCCATAAGTGGGGTGAAGTAATCATATGAATAGTTTAAGAGATTATAACAGAAAGGAATGGCAATGCGAGAATATACTGTGTAACACCACATGCCAACCGAAGATAAAGGAATTGAACTGTATGTGTGTGACATGAGGGCCATCACAGGGCAGTATGGTTAACTACGAAACTTTAAACCGTGCATGGCACACGAGGGTCAATGCAGTATGTTTAACAATGAAACTAATGGCGTTAACAATGTTGCATTATTTTATAAATAGAGAAGAAATGTTGAGATGAATAATAAGCAGTGTTGAGAAAAAAACGAAAAAATGCAAATATTACGTAAAGTTTATAATACGAGTGTAAAAAACGTGGTAGAGAACAACCTAAAGGATGTATGACAGGAACAAACAATTGTTGTAATTGTGCTAAGACAAAACACTTAAATGCAATTTTACAAAATACCAGCTTGTTATGATGACCGACATGTAAGGACAAATTACATTTGAGATTAATATAGGATTATTGAAAAGTAGAACAAGGTGCCAGAAACAAATGCCATAATATCACTGACAATGACATAAACAGGTAATAATTCAGATGTCTAATAAGTCCGTTTGGTAGTTGTCGAATGGTTTGATGTAAAATGATTAAGAGATTTTCATGATATATTGCAAAATGAAATATAATTGTTTGGTAATTGTTTATGATGAAATTAAGGCGCTGAATGGTTAAGGGAGACCCATGGTACAAACTCATCCAGAATGTTTTAGAATCATTAAAGGACAAATTTCTTTTTTGCAAACAAGATTCACCTTTTAACAATTCAGATGTTGCATTTTAATTGAATTATTAAAATGTAAACAAACAATTCATAATATTATATACGTTCATAGGGTTTTATGTAAAATTGAAATGTTGTTTATGATAAATCATATATGTTGAAAATACTAACAATTAAAAAAAATCGAACCAAATACGTTATATTTTTATTAATTTAAAACAATTTATTTAATAAAACATCACATAATAAAAAGCAAAATACAATATATTAATTTATAAGTAAAATACAATTTTTGTTTTTTTGTGGGTTTTCGAAAATAACGGTTTTTAGTTGTTTGAAATTAAGGAGATGGTCATTATGGTTTGCAAAAACGTTCAAATTTGATCAATATCTTTAAGGGTGCGTTTGGTGCGCAGACAAGATAGGACATGACAGGACAGAACAGGACAGGACGGGGCAGGACAGGACAGCTGTTCAGCGTTTGGTAAGACAGGACAGGACATGACAGGACTGGTTAAAATGACCGATTTACCCCTAACGTTATTTTGCTTCTATACTAAGTTAAAATACAGGCAAATAACAAACATTCTATATGCTAATGATCAAGAGATGCGAATCGGATGCAAGACAGCAGAACCCAATCGAAATCGAA